TTTTTTTTGGCTGGAGGTGTTATTACTAAATAATCAATATCATCGACTAATCAATAAGCAAATGAATAAATAAGAAAATTAATAAATAAGCAAATTAATAAATTAATGATTAATTCATTCAAAAAACACTGGATAATTATTATCAAACAATTATTGTATTTACCACAAAAATTAGTGATATTATCTTTTTTTTCATTGACAAATGACATAAAATTTTTATTCCACATATTTACAATATTTGAATGTTTTTCATTTGATTGAATGTTTTTAAATTTCTTATTTAATTGACTTAATGTTTCCAAATTTTCTTTGTTGATTATTAGTGATTTTTGTGGTGAAAAGATAATGCGTGAATTATAAATATTCTAAAAAAAATAAAGAGTATCAAGAAAACATATAATTCATTTAATAAACATTAATCAATTATACTTTATACATACATACATACATATATATATATACACACACTTACATTGATGTATTTTTTAAAGAAAATATCCAAAAAGTCAATTGAATCGATAGTCTTACAAATATCATATAATAAAACCAAATTCGCTAGACTATCAAAATCAAAAAAAACTATTGAAATGAATGAATAAATGAATGAATAAATGAGTGAATGAATGGATGGATGAATGAATGAATATTGAATAGTGAGTGAATAAACAAATAAATAATAATATATATAAAATGAATATACCGTCCTCTCAAATGTATACCTTTTTCAATTATAATATCCATATGCCTGAGGTAATATTCATTAATCATGATCTTAGCTGAAGATTCTCTGATATACAAATCTTCACCAAAAAAATAAGTCACTTTATCAATCTCAAACTCAATTTGTTGCTTGATCAACTTCAAATAGGTGCCTATATTACGATTTTCAATTAATGGTCGGTATGATAAACTTTTCTCACGAAAAAATTTCTTTGAATTGTCTAGAAATGCATATTTAAATGAGTCATAAAGTTCTAGTTCCTTGATTGATTGTATCATTGTCTTTATATATTCATCATAGTGACCATATTTACTACTGCTGTTAGTATTGTTGCCGTTGCTATCATTTGTGATTTTGTTGTTATTGTTGTTATTTATGTTAACATAAATATTTTGATTTCTATAAAAGTTAGTTAAATTAATTAAATTAGTCAATCAATCAATCGATTGGAGAAGTTATCAGGAAATAAAAATTCGATAAATCTTTTTTTTTTTTTTACCCCAATTCATTAAATGTGATTAATACAGATTTAATAAGATTATTACATATAACATTTGCTTTTTTTAAATTATTAGAAAGCATTCTCATCCCAAATGTCCTAAAATAACAAAAATTACGTATTAATAATAAAACTACAATGGTGATATGATGATGACGATTATGACAATGATAATAGCATGTTATATTTATTAATTAATACATTACCATAATGTTTGATTTATTTTATTGAAAACGTCTTTAAGAAATGGATAATATTTATTGACAAAAGTCTGTAAAATAATAATGATGATCGGTTGGACAGTTAATTAGTCATCATATATTTGTTCATTCATTTATTCGGTAATTAATAAATTTAAGTATTTTACCAGCTTATATTCAAAACATTTCCAAAAGTGAAAATATAATGCAGAAAAATTTTGTCCAGGCACAGAAATTCTAGTAAATAAAGATATAAATAATATAGATTAGGAAATGACACACCTTTACCTTCACTAGGAGCTCGGATAATTATAGTTGAACTGGTATTGTGGGAATGGTTAGAAATTGGAGATTAAGTCTTGGAAACAAATTTACTTTGAAAAAAAAAAAAAAAGCATTTTTAAAAAATTGCTCCAAAAGGCAACTGATATGCCTTTTTTAGTAAGATTTTCCGAACGACACAAACTAATTATAATTTATCCGAGCTCCCCCCTCAGTCCACTCACACTCACACCACAATCTAACCCCCTCCTCCTCCCCCATAAAATTTAAAAAATAAAAATTAACATTACTGTTGAAGTTGAAAAATCCTAATATTGATATAATATGCTATACAACAATCCAGCACTGAGATCAAATCATTTGGCGTCAAATCATGTTTCAAGTATAACTGTTGGATATGATCTCTGTTACTTGAAAATTCATTCTCTATGGAACCAAGGTCAAAATCATTGTTTAACATAATTGAAATGTGGTTTTTAAATTTATCAAATTCATAAAATTGATTTGCTAAAATATTATTATCATTGTTGTTGTTGTTGTAATTAGTGATTGGTGTTTCTAATGTTCTTGCTGATGTAGATGATATGGCAATAGGTATTGTTGTTGGGTATAATGAATATGGCGAATATGGCGAATATGGCAATGTTACTCCTACTGAATTTTGGGAGAAAGATGGTAATGATGGTGGACATGAATATTCATGTACAAAGTCAAAATTACACCCATATTCTCTCATATGATAATCTTTGTGAGTTGAATTGATGAAAAGATAATTTGAAGCAAGATTAGAATTAAAAATACCATTATTATTCATCATAACATTACTTATAGGGTAGTGATTCATGGTATAAAGGCCGTTATTCATGATGTAAAAGCCATTGCCATTACTCATGGTGTTGAATCTATTGCTCATGGTGTTGTTGAGGATATTATTGTTGGAGGTAGAAGAAGAAGCAGCAGGAGCAGTAGTAGCAGTAGTTGTAATTGATGATCGATGTTGTTGTTGCTGAGTTTTTTTAAATTTTTTATTAGAGTTATTTGAAGAAAGTGGTAACCTTAATCTTGCTGCAGCCTCCTCTATTGCTGATTTTTTTGTTTTTACCATTGACATTTCCGGTGATGTGGGAGTTAGTTGTTCTGCTGATTCTATGGTTCTTTTAGTTGCTGTTGTTGTTGATCCTTTATCAGTTGATATTATTCTTTGATTTTCCATTGTTTTTTACACTCAAAATAATTTCTTGGAGAGTTGTTTGTTATTTCAGTTTTTTTTTTAAAAAAAAAAAGAGGTCAAAAAAAGAGCTATAGTTGTTGATATTTTTCGTTAGTAACCAATTGGTTCGTGCAACGACGTGGGTTCAGCCAATCAACAATGCTCAACGAACAGGGACCCGAGCTTTGCAATCGAAAGATGGGACCGTCGATCCAAAAAGTAACATGGATTCTTGAAAATCGTTTCCTAAAACCAAAAAATTTGATCAGGTGGTCACACACGTATATCAATTCCATATTTACAACTCGTGTTACATGTCTTGAACCAAATCACTGGAACACTTTGTGTTTATCATTACTTGTTTTGGTGGAATATCTAATACACTGATGGTCACACATACAAAATACGAGTTTGTTCCATTTTATATATATATATGTCAAAGATATTTTATTTATTTATTTTTTTTTGCTTTAAACAAAATCAACATTACATAATATCGATATGATTGAGTCCCACCTGCAAAAAAGGTTGTATTTGTGGAGTGGGATGTGTGTATATATATATATATTATATGTTACCTAATTACTGTTTTCAAAAAAAAGAAATTAATTAATTATTAATTAAAAAGTGGGGAAAGGTTACCTTTTTATACCGTTTTTGATATCATAATTCATTTCCTATTTTTCACTCATTCATTCATTCATATTATTCAAAAGAAGTTATTTTTCCCTCACTAATTAATTAATTGATTGATTGATTAATTAATCGATTATTAATATCAAATTTAATCGATTAATTAAATTGAATGACTAATTCGTTTTAAAAAAAAAAATGTCCGAAATTATCATCGTTTTCAAATTAAAATTTTTTTTTTCAATTCAAATTTCTTTCCAAATTCGTTAAAGTATACACACACAAAATATTATTTGTATGTAAAATACAGTTTGAACAATATACAACACACACAATTAAACTCTATAATTCTTTACAATTATTATTGTTATTGTTATTATTATCATTTATAGTGTGTGTATTTACATAACATTACATATAATATATATATATATATATATTAAGAGTGAAAAAAATAAATAAATAATTTTTTTTTTTTAAAAATTATTGACAATATGATTTAGTGGAGAGAGAGAGAGAGAGAGAGGAAAGGGCGGCGGAATTGCAGGATGAAGGAAAAAAAATTTTCGATATTTGAATATGAAAATCACAATAATAGTAATAATAAATAATAACGACGATGGTAATGATAACGATAGATAATATTAATTATAATAATTAATAATAATAATGATAATAATAATAATAATAATAATAGAAATAACCAGTAATTCATTCATCAACTGCTGCTTCCCACACAAAATGAAAATATAATTTAGTCTCTATTATCATTGTTGCTATCATTATTTAGTTAAAACAATGAAGGAGTTTTTAGATTAATTCAGCAAATTCAGTAAAACCACTGCTACTCCACACATTTTTCACGAATTTTAAAAAACAACCAACAATAATAAAAAAACAATGGTGAGAGAAAAAAAATGTGGTGTATAAAAAAAGAGACAAGAAGAATAGAAAACACACGTGTAATTGTCAGTCAACAACAATTCAAATTGTAATGTCGATTTATTTTGTTTGTTTTGACGTGTCAAAAAAATAAATTTGTTACATTACCATATGTGTTATATATAATGGATGAATGAATGAATGAATGTCTTGGTGAAATGGAATTTATTTATTTATTGGTTGATTTAGCAAAAAAATAAATAATCTATAACGATATCTGATGTTTTTTGTTTATTTGTTTTGATCGATTTGTCAATTATATATATATAAATAATAATAATTAGATTATTAATATATTGAAAATAAAAGCAGCATATTACGTCATTGATAATTTATGAACGGACGAGACCCGTGATTGCGTTGCTTACCAATTTACCACTTTTGTTATTTGGTATGTTTTGTGTGGTGAAAATTTAATTAATTTTTAAATAATGTTGTTGTTGTTTGTTATTTATTTATTTTTCACTGATTAGTAAATTTACTGACTGGGTAAAATTTACAGATGACGATGATGTTATAAATTTATTTTGACTTGAATGAGACTGACAGACTGACTGGATTTTTCAATAACGGATTCTTAAAAAATTGTATCTCCTTTTTAAAAATTTTTTTATGGTAATATCGTTAAAAGTAATTAATTATTGTAAAAATAAACTTGACTGATGATGACGCTACTACTGATTTATTAATTGATAATTGATAATTGATTGATTGATGATTGTTGTGTTGTTGGAATGATGTAATGAAGTAAGGGTTGTTATTATTACAAACGACAAAAAAAAAATTGTCGAATTTATCCTTCTGGTTGTTTCTGTTACCGTCTCCGATTGAAAATTTGATAGAATATTTGAAATATATAATTTCTCAATTTAGTTTTTTTAATATATTGAATAATGATAATTAGTTTTAGTTGTTTGTAGAATAGTTTTTAATTATTATTTTTAGTTATTTGGTTAGAAATTTTTTAAAAAAAAAACTAGTTTATTTTTATTAAAGAATATTAGTAATATAGAATATATATATATATTATATTATATATTTACAAGTATAATAATTATTAATATATATATTACAAAGAGAGGCGTTTTTTTTTTTTTATTTTTTTTTTTTTATAATTATTTGAGAATGGAGAGTTATATAACAAATTATTATCACAATAGAAAAAAACTAAAATTAAAAAGGAATAAAATAACTACTTTATTTGTTTTATTTGTTTTTGGATGAAATGAAAATCACTTCTAATTTTTATAAGATATATGAAAGTTTTAAATAGCAACTAAAACTAATCAAATGTTTGAAATAACAATATTTTGTTTGTTGGAACGAGGAGATTGAAAAAGATTAAAAAAAAAGGAAGGAGAAAATTAAACAAACGATTGGGATTTTCTCTCTCCGACACACTGACTATTATTATTTATTGTCTTGTTTCTAGTACTAGATCATTATATATATATATATATATATCTACTACTACACTACAAACAACTATTTATTTATTATGTTGTTTGTTTATCATATTATTTTAATTTCACATTATCACACAACAACATATTTGGCAACGACTCTCCTGTCAATCGCCCAAATAAATAACAAAGAGGAGAAACAAATATTTATATTACCTAGCAATAAGTCGAAAACGTGAAATTTTACCAAAAATTTGATAATTTCAGCATAATTTTCATTATTATGTAACACTCAAACGATATCGATATCTTTAAATGCTTTAAACGATGGTGTGATTAAATAATAATCGTCCACATCTTTTAACTTCATCTCATCTAACTAAACCTTATCGATAAATGATCAGCATATTAATTTGTAAATTATTTCCAAATTGGTAATCAATATCGGTATTGCTGTTGATTGGTAAGTGTATATCTAACTGGTTTAACTATTTTTAGACAAACTAGTTTAGAAAATGATTTATTTTATTTGCAATGAGAACCTGTTTTAATACTTGTTATTTTTTTATATTATATTATTTAATTTATATATATATATATATTTTATATTTTTATTCCTTATCCCTCCCTCCTCTACCTCTACCTCTTCCTCCTCTCCTCCCCCTTTTTTCTTTTCTAAAATTAAAATTAAAGCATGATATGGTGATATAATGACGATGATAATAATAATTCCTTAGCAATTGCTTTGGCGTTATATTAGGAAAATTAATATATTTTCTTGGAAGAGAAAGATGACAAGAAAAACATTTAAGGAAGATAAGAATTTTCATTCTTGAATATTCATTTGTTTCCTAATCAATACAATTAAATAATTAAAATTATTTTTTTTATTTATCTAAATAATTTCCTTATGTAAATGCAGTGTAGTTGCAGTGTACATAAGAAAAAACTATGTACGCGTTTTTATTTATTTTCCAACTTATTTACTATTCAATTACATGTTATTTTATTATTATTAGAATTTATTACCTTATTTCTCAAAAATGTTTTTTGTGTGAGTGGTAAATCTTATTTATTATTATTATGCAGAAAATAACAACTAGTATGAAAAAAGGAGCAAGGAATAAATTTCCCAAAACTAATTTTTAAATTTTTCTATTACTAAAAATGTGATAATTGCCAGGTGAATTATGTGACATGACAGGACATTTTCATTGTATTCAAATTTGTACTTTATATACATACCGTTTTTGGAATGGTTACACCATGTCGATCATGTTGATTCATTGTCTAAAGCGAAATACCGATTTATTCCATAATTTGCAACCAAGCTGGATCATTTTACTATCCTGCCTGTTACCACTCATTACCCTCCCATTCGCTCTCTCTATCATCGCTACCATTATATTACTGGTGAGAAAGTGAAAATGTATTGGTTTTTTTTATAGAAAACGTAGTAATTAAAAGTATTGGGTAGATCAGGAATTTTTGATGGGTGGAATAAATGTCCATTATTATTACTATAGAAGATACATATACGATTAGTGTAAAAAATATGCAATGACATTGGACTTTCAATTATTATTTTTATTATTTAACCATCTCCACATACGCACGCACATACAAAAAAAAATTTTTTTTTCTACTAAATAAATCATTTCATTAATTTTTTGTTGGATTTGACCAATAACTCTAATATTAAATTGGTAAGCAACGCAATCACGGGTCTCGTCCGTTCATAAATTATCAATGACGTAATATGCTGCTTTTATTTTCAATATATTAATAATCTAATTATTATTATTTATATATATATAATTGACAAATCGATCAAAACAAATAAACAAAAAACATCAGATATCGTTATAGATTATTTATTTTTTTGCTAAATCAACCAATAAATAAATAAATTCCATTTCACCAAGACATTCATTCATTCATTCATCCATTATATATAACACATATGGTAATGTAACAAATTTATTTTTTTGACACGTCAAAACAAACAAAATAAATCGACATTACAATTTGAATTGTTGTTGACTGACAATTACACGTGTGTTTTCTATTCTTCTTGTCTCTTTTTTTATACACCACATTTTTTTTCTCTCACCATTGTTTTTTTATTATTGTTGGTTGTTTTTTAAAATTCGTGAAAAATGTGTGGAGTAGCAGTGGTTTTACTGAATTTGCTGAATTAATCTAAAAACTCCTTCATTGTTTTAACTAAATAATGATAGCAACAATGATAATAGAGACTAAATTATATTTTCATTTTGTGTGGGAAGCAGCAGTTGATGAATGAATTACTGGTTATTTCTATTATTATTATTATTATTATTATCATTATTATTATTAATTATTATAATTAATATTATCTATCGTTATCATTACCATCGTCGTTATTATTTATTATTACTATTATTGTGATTTTCATATTCAAATATCGAAAATTTTTTTTCCTTCATCCTGCAATTCCGCCGCCCTTTCCTCTCTCTCTCTCTCTCTCTCCACTAAATCATATTGTCAATAATTTTTAAAAAAAAAAAATTATTTATTTATTTTTTTCACTCTTAATATATATATATATATATATTATATGTAATGTTATGTAAATACACACACTATAAATGATAATAATAACAATAACAATAATAATTGTAAAGAATTATAGAGTTTAATTGTGTGTGTTGTATATTGTTCAAACTGTATTTTACATACAAATAATATTTTGTGTGTGTATACTTTAACGAATTTGGAAAGAAATTTGAATTGAAAAAAAAAATTTTAATTTGAAAACGATGATAATTTCGGACATTTTTTTTTTTAAAACGAATTAGTCATTCAATTTAATTAATCGATTAAATTTGATATTAATAATCGATTAATTAATCAATCAATCAATTAATTAATTAGTGAGGGAAAAATAACTTCTTTTGAATAATATGAATGAATGAATGAGTGAAAAATAGGAAATGAATTATGATATCAAAAACGGTATAAAAAGGTAACCTTTCCCCACTTTTTAATTAATAATTAATTAATTTCTTTTTTTTGAAAACAGTAATTAGGTAACATATAATATATATATATATATACACACATCCCACTCCACAAATACAACCTTTTTTGCAGGTGGGACTCAATCATATCGATATTATGTAATGTTGATTTTGTTTAAAGCAAAAAAAAATAAATAAATAAAATATCTTTGACATATATATATATAAAATGGAACAAACTCGTATTTTGTATGTGTGACCATCAGTGTATTAGATATTCCACCAAAACAAGTAATGATAAACACAAAGTGTTCCAGTGATTTGGTTCAAGACATGTAACACGAGTTGTAAATATGGAATTGATATACGTGTGTGACCACCTGATCAAATTTTTTGGTTTTAGGAAACGATTTTCAAGAATCCATGTTACTTTTTGGATCGACGGTCCCATCTTTCGATTGCAAAGCTCGGGTCCCTGTTCGTTGAGCATTGTTGATTGGCTGAACCCACGTCGTTGCACGAACCAATTGGTTACTAACGAAAAATATCAACAACTATAGCTCTTTTTTTGACCTCTTTTTTTTTTTAAAAAAAAAACTGAAATAACAAACAACTCTCCAAGAAATTATTTTGAGTGTAAAAAACAATGGAAAATCAAAGAATAATATCAACTGATAAAGGATCAACAACAACAGCAACTAAAAGAACCATAGAATCAGCAGAACAACTAACTCCCACATCACCGGAAATGTCAATGGTAAAAACAAAAAAATCAGCAATAGAGGAGGCTGCAGCAAGATTAAGGTTACCACTTTCTTCAAATAACTCTAATAAAAAATTTAAAAAAACTCAGCAACAACAACATCGATCATCAATTACAACTACTGCTACTACTGCTCCTGCTGCTTCTTCTTCTACCTCCAACAATAATATCCTCAACAACACCATGAGCAATAGATTCAACACCATGAGTAATGGCAATGGCTTTTACATCATGAATAACGGCCTTTATACCATGAATCACTACCCTATAAGTAATGTTATGATGAATAATAATGGTATTTTTAATTCTAATCTTGCTTCAAATTATCTTTTCATCAATTCAACTCACAAAGATTATCATATGAGAGAATATGGGTGTAATTTTGACTTTGTACATGAATATTCATGTCCACCATCATTACCATCTTTCTCCCAAAATTCAGTAGGAGTAACATTGCCATATTCGCCATATTCGCCATATTCATTATACCCAACAACAATACCTATTGCCATATCATCTACATACTGCAAGAGGATGTATATCTCTGAACTACAAATACAGTGCCCTTCAGAAAAGAAAAAACTTATCTACAAGAAAGCAGGACGTAGATTAAAATAAAAAAGACTGATAAGTATACGCAACAGAAAAAAGATAAAGAAAGACACTAAGAAACAACTCAACAAAAAAAAAACCAATTGATACCTAATCTGTTATACCTCAATTATCTTTATGAATAATTAAAAAAATGAAATTATGATATATACCAAAATTATTTTGTTCGTGATAACCTAGACTTTCCAAAGGATTCCATGATTTTCCATTTATGACATACAATGCAAGTCACCTGGTCTCAGAAATTGCCAAATTTTTTTTTTAAATATGCAATAATTTATTTAAACAAAAAAAATTTAATTTTAAAAAAAATTTACATGAAGAAAATGATGATGATGATGATGATGATACATTAATATCAAAATTTTTACAAATAAATTACTAATAATAATAAGAGGATTAATAAAGTAAATTAAAAAAAAATCAAAACATGTTACTATATTTGAGTTGTTATCCAATCAAGTAATTGTCTTTCTTGTGCCTTTATTTCTTCATAAAGTGCATTATTAGCAGAAGTATCTTGAATTGGATGTGGAATTGTCATAGGATTTAATAATAATGCATGGTTATTATTATTATAATAAATATTATTATTGTTGTAATAGCTGTTGATGTTATTGCTGTTATTATAAAGAGAAGGTGATTGTAATATTTTATTATATAATGGATTGCTGTTTGAAGAAGAATTTATTTGATGAATATATTCTATATTTTTATTATGATTTTCCAATTGTTTATTAATTACTGCTGCAGCATTAGATGATGAGGATGCTATTGATTTTGTTGGTTGAAGTATGCTGAGCAATGAATTTTTTCGTTGAGTTTCCAAATCATTATCAACTAGGGATGGCACGAGTACTTTATCATCAATAGATATTGTAGCTCTGGTAGTGGTGTTATTATTTTGATTCGTGACATTGATCCTTTTATTGTAATCGAAAATAGCAGGTTCATATGGACCAACTGGAGCGTTATGATTAAATGATGATTGATCAGGATCCAGTTTAGAAATAAGTATTCTACGATTAGGTTGAACAGAAATTGGCACTGAAACATTATTGTTACTACTACTATTACTGCTGCTACTACTGCTATCAATGCTGCTGCTATCATTACTGCTGCTGCTATTACTTCTGCTACTATCATCATTAGTGGCGGTGATGGTGTTATTGATATTATTTCCGAGGTCGACTTTAATTGATATGGGTTTTAGATTTAATTTGGTATTCACCTCAATAAGTTTATATTCTGGCTTGTCATTGATGTTTAAATTATTATTAGTGGTAGTATAATTATTATTATTGTCATTGTTAGTATTGTTATCGTCATTGTTGTTGTTATCATCATCATCATTATTAGCATAATTGTCTTTAAGTGAATGATCCTTTTTATCAACAAATGAATGAGAAGGCAGAAAAATCCTGATTGGACGAAACCTTAAATTCAATTTTGTGTTTACATTAATCAATTCATATTTGGGCTTTTCGCTAGTGTTGCTGCTACTACTAATAGTAGTGTTCCTGGTACTAGTAGCAGGTTTTGATTTTGATTTTTTTGTATAATATAAATCAGCCTTAGCTTTACCTTTTCTACTATTGTTGTTGTAATTATTATCATCTTCATCCTCTACATGATTGTCATTATCATTGTCATCAATGAAATCCAAACCTTCCTCATCATCATCATCCTCTTCTATCTCCTCGCTTTCAGAATAAATGATCTCTGATTCGTATGAAGATTTCGTGTTATCATTAATATTATTGCTGTCATCTAATGGATATGATTTCTTTTTTCCAACATTAACATTATCACTTCTTCCTGCTTTATTGCTATTATTGGCATTATTATTTTTGTTTTTACGCTTGGGATTATTTCGCGCTAGTACCCATTTTCGTAAGCGACTTTTTTTTTGAAAAAAAAAACCATCACATTACTTTAGAAGGAGAAAATTATATCTATTAAAAAAAAAAAAAAAAGTAAAAAATAAATTTTGTTTATACATACGTAACAAACGGAACAACCATGTAATATCTACTGCTACCATATTTTACACAACCACCACCACAATTAAAGGGTGATTCTTTATTACGGTTTTTTGACCAAGTGGGAAGATCTGAAAGATTATGCCATTCTATTTTCTAAAAAAAATAATTTTTTTAATAAAAAAATATTAATATATTATATATATATGATAAATGTTGTTTTTATTGTTTGAACAATAACAATAATGGAATCTAATCAATAACCTACGCTGATTTCTTTGCGCGTTTGTGGACAAAATTCGGTAGCTTCTAGTACGCCAACCACTATATACAATCTAATTCTTTGACCACGAATTGTTATTTCCACAAAATCTTTTTCTTTGATAAGTGGTGTGATATCATACCCAGTCTCTTCGAATACCTATAAAAAAAAAATCATTTATAGTTTATTTTTTTTCGTTTTTTCAAAAATAAACAATAATGTGTATCGGTAATGTATTTGATTGACGTACCTCTCTGGCAGCGCAGATTGAATCAAGTTCGTCTTTATTTATTTTACCTTTTGGAAAACCCCAACCTGATCGTGAAGACCAACCTTTTACCAATAATACTTTATCCATTGTAGAATTTAACATTATTGCGCCACAAACTGGAACTCTAATCTTGTACTTCATGAAATCTCCAAACGCCTTTTCATGCTCGTTCCTCCATTTGAAAAGCAACGGACAATGATCAAAAAGTGTTAAACAGAGTTAAGTTGAAAAATACAATTATAACGGTATGATTATTGCTATTATTATTATTATTATTGCAGAAAAAAAATAAAAAGGATATATCTTGCAGAAAAGACTTTTAATGTGAAGCTGGGTAAACTTGGATTTTGTTCACGAACAAAATCTTCGTAGAACCAATGAGCTTGTTCAATTTGAAAGCAAATACGTTCTATGGAAGACAATTCCTCTTCAGGAACATTTATTATAAAACGACTGTAAAATATTCTTTTATTATTATAATGTAGACTAAATGACCATAGGAACCAAAAAGTAGTAAAAATAATAAATAAACCTTGATAGGTCGTCTAGAATTTGGGTAAATGTTGCAGTTTCAAACGACATTTTTAATTTTTTTCAGATGTGTAAAAGATTCGTTTTTTTTATTTTGGTTTTAAAAATTTTTGAAAGAAAAAATCACACGCACAATATATGAATTTGATCGACATTTATACTATTATTTTTGCGGTTAAAGTAAATAAAATGATTTTTTTTTGTTTTTTTTTTTTAGGGAACATAAATAACATTTTTGCCTTCAATTCTTAAAAATTGTCGTTTTATTAAGGATTTAATCTGAACGTCGATAAGTTTTCCCTTAAAATAAAAAAAATATAAATTTTGAATATTAATTATTGATAAATAGAAAAAAATGACAAACAATAATTGTTAAATAATTTACCTGAATTTGTTGATGAAAATTATTTTTAAAATCTTTTTGTATAAAACTAATCAAACTATTTTGTTGGTAACGTTTATGCAATTTCATTAATTTCATTATCCTTGAATCTATTCTTATTTCGTTGGATATATTATAAGAAGAGGTTTGAACATCCTCTGATGTTGATACCTTTTTCATCCCCAAATGAATGAACATGTGTGTGTTAGTTAATACATATATGTATGATATTAAATTAATTATTTTTGTTACCTGTTTTTGTGATTTTCGTTCAGCGATTATTATTGGATTGTCGACGGTTGATTCGATGTAGTTTAAGTTTTCATTAATAAAAATAGCATCGGATAAATTCAATCTCTTTGAATTCACAAATTTATTTAACAATTTAACTTCGCCAAATATCAGTGAACTTAAAGCACTTTTTAATACTTCAAAATCTAAATAAAGAAAGTAAATTAAATAATATAGTATGTTAATACATATATATGCATAAAATACATACATGCATACGTGCATACATGTATAATATATATTTACCTAATTCAGTATTTTTCATAATTTCACGAATAGTGTATGATATTTGATATGATCTTGTATAGTTGAACATTTCCAATATTATAAACATGTGCATATTGATACTAAAGTACATTTTTCCCTAATAAATAATATTGAAAATATATTAATGTGAAGATCCTACTAATAATATGAATATAATAATATAATTATTATCTACCTTTGGATGAATTGAAGAAATAATTAGATTATCATAGGAATGTAACCATTTAAGATTTCTATCTTTTCCCTTGCAATAATAATAATCTTGAAATGATTTCCTCATCAAGAACAACTAAAAAAATTGATTAATATACACACATATATATATGTATGTATATACAATTAACATATGATGATGACGATGATGATTATGATGATGATATATTATTTACTTCATATGGTATTTTTAGATCAACAACTCCAGATGACGATCCAGTGATAAAGTTTGGCCAATAAGACCCTGTTAATATTGTTACTTTTAGATGATTAAAAATCTACAAAAATGATTGATCAATGAATGATAAGATGTTAATTATTAATTATTGAAGTCAATCAATCAATCAGTTGTTGTTGTTGGTTAATTAATATTTACATCAAAATCTTTTTTTATTTCAATTGATTCATGGATGTCTTTAATCATTGCATTTAAATTATCTAAATATAAATCATCCCCTAAAAATGAATTATAAAACAATTATAAAATATCATAATATATATTTATATATTTTATACAACAATATAATAATAATCAATGATTTAGCATATACCTATTATCTTTAACCTGCTAAATAATGACAAAATCCACTTTTCATTTAAAAGATTAAGATTTTTGTCATCATGGCAATAAAGTAGTCTTTTAGCAAATTTTTTCTTATAATGTTTCATGAAATAAGGTTTATCTATAAATAACAACCATTAATAATATAGCAGCAGCAGTAATAATAATAATAATAATAATAATAAAGATTATTACCATCTAATAATACGATTAATGAAGTAATTTCTAATATTTCATCTGTTTTCTCTGATTTTGTGTTGTCTGAAGGTGTTATTATTAAATGATCAATATAATCGACTAATAAATAAGCAAATTAATAAATAAGAAAATTAATAAATAAGCAAATTAATAAATTAATGATTAATTCATTCAAAAAACACTGGATAATTATTATCAAACAATTATTGTATTTACCACAAAAATTAGTGATATTATCTTTTTTTTCATTGACAAATGACATAAAATTTTTATTCCACATATTTACAATATTTGAATGTTTTTCATTTGATTGAATGTTTTTAAATTTCTTATTTAATTGACTTAATGTTTCCAAATTTTCTTTGTTGATTATTAGTGATTTTTGTGGTGAAAAGATAATGCGTGAATTATAAATATTCTAAAAAAAATAAAGAGTATCAAGAAAACATATAATTCATTTAATAAACATTAATCAATTATACTTTATACATACATACATACATATATATATATACACACACTTACATTGATGTATTTTTTAAAGAAAATATCCAAAAAGTCAATTGAATCGATAGTCTTACAAATATCATATAATAAAACCAAATTCGCTAGACTATCAAAATCAAAAAAAACTATTGAAATGAATGAATAAATGAATGAATAAATGAGTGAATGAATGGATGGATGAATGAATGAATATTGAATAGTGAGTGAATAAACAAATAAATAATAATATATATAAAATGAATATACCGTCCTCTCAAATGTATACCTTTTTCAATTATAATATCCATATGCCTGAGGTAATATTCATTAATCATGATCTTAGCTGAAGATTCTCTGATATACAAATCTTCACCAAAAAAATAAGTCACTTTATCAATCTCAAACTCAATTTGTTGCTTGATCAACTTCAAATAGGTGCCTATATTACGATTTTCAATTAATGGTCGGTATGATAAACTTTTCTCACGAAAAAATTTCTTTGAATTGTCTAGAAATGCATATTTAAATGAGTCATAAAGTTCTAGTTCCTTGATTGATTGTATCATTGTCTTTATATATTCATCATAGTGACCATATTTACTACTGCTGTTAGTATTGTTGCCGTTGCTATCATTTGTGATTTTGTTGTTATTGTTGTTATTTATGTTAACATAAATATTTTGATTTCTATAAAAGTTAGTTAAATTAATTAAATTAGTCAATCAATCAATCGATTGGAGAAGTTATCAGGAAATAAAAATTCGATAAATCTTTTTTTTTTTTTTACCCCAATTCATTAAATGTGATTAATACAGATTTAATAAGATTATTACATATAACATTTGCTTTTTTTAAATTATTAGAAAGCATTCTCATCCCAAATGTCCTAAAATAACAAAAATTACGTATTAATAATAAAACTACAATGGTGATATGATGATGACGATTATGACAATGATAATAGCATGTTATATTTATTAATTAATACATTACCATAATGTTTGATTTATTTTATTGAAAACGTCTTTAAGAAATGGATAATATTTATTGACAAAAGTCTGTAAAATAATAATGATGATCGGTTGGACAGTTAATTAGTCATCATATATTTGTTCATTCATTTATTCGGTAATTAATAAATTTAAGTATTTTACCAGCTTATATTCAAAACATTTCCAAAAGTGAAAATATAATGCAGAAAAATTTTGTCCAGGCACAGAAATTCTAGTAAATAAAGATATAAATAATATAGATTAGGAAATGACACACCTTTACCTTCACTAGGAGCTCGGATAATTATAGTTGAACTGGTATTGTGGGAATGGTTAGAAATTGGAGATTAAGTCTTGGAAACAAATTTACTTTGAAAAAAAAAAAAAAAAGCATTTTTAAAAAATTGCTCCAAAAGGCAACTGATATGCCTTTTTTAGTAAGATTTTCCGAACGACACAAACTAATTATAATTTATCCGAGCTCCCCCCTCAGTCCACTCACACTCACACCACAATCTAACCCCCTCCTCCTCCCCCATAAAATTTAAAAAATAAAAATTAACATTACTGTTGAAGTTGAAAAATCCTAATATTGATATAATATGCTATACAACAATCCAGCACTGAGATCAAATCATTTGGCGTCAAATCATGTTTCAAGTATAACTGTTGGATATGATCTCTGTTACTTGAAAATTCATTCTCTATGGAACCAAGGTCAAAATCATTGTTTAACATAATTGAAATGTGGTTTTTAAATTTATCAAATTCATAAAATTGATTTGCTAAAATATTATTATCATTGTTGTTGTTGTTGTAATTAGTGATTGGTGTTTCTAATGTTCTTGCTGATGTAGATGATATGGCAATAGGTATTGTTGTTGGGTATAATGAATATGGCGAATATGGCGAATATGGCAATGTTACT